CTGTGATTTTGACCGCAGGCACTCTTCGGCTTTTCCTAGGCACGATGGTAAGACCGAATTCGTCACCCATGCAGCTTCTGAGGACATAGTCAAGGACGATGATGAAGAGAAAGGGTGCTAGAGTGTCCCCTTGAAGAACTCCAATAAGTGTCCTAAAAAAGTCAGTAAGGCCGTCGATGGTCTGGACACGAGAGAACGATGAGTCATAAAGAAGCCTGATAGCATCTACAAGTGGAGTAGGGATACCGTAGAGGGAGAGGATGTGGAAAAGGGCATCCCGGTTAATGCTGTCGAACGCTTTCGAAAAATCGACAAACACAATTGCGGCTGAACGATTTCCGATCTTGCATTCCTCGAGTATACGACGTAGGGCAAGGACCTGTGGGAGTGTGGATCTTCCTCTACGGAAACCATTTTGGTTTGGCCGCAAGAGGGGATCAATGAATGGGTAGATCCGGTTGAGGATGAGCTTGTTAAAAACTTTCGCTGCAACCGGTGCCAGTGAAATGCCACGGTAGTTTCCTGGATTAGTAAGATCACCCTTTTTGGGGATAGGAATGATGATAAATATATCAATCTATAAGTGATGGTAATGATCATCAAACTCAGAATGATATTATCAATGCTATTGAAAGTTTTCTGTTGAAGTTCTCAAACAAATTTATGTGAAATCATATGGAAATGAAAAGTAAAAAGTGTAAGCTCAGCAAATTGGTTTAATTATAGAGTCCAGAATAAAACGATATTTTAATGAATGTATGCCTTTGTCTGTGTCATTTGTTCACGCTCATAAATCAATTTTTTTGTAGTAATATAACTAATAAGTTTTGATTTCACTTAATTGTACTTTTGATGATTTACGTAGCCAAGTTTTATTCTCTTTAACAATACCATAATGGTTTATAATAAATAACTCGCATAACTTCTAGTCAATGGAGACTTCTGAAGAGGATCCGCCCTCCCTCTCTCCACTTTCTGACGTTTTAGAATTATCGGAAGAGGACGTCACAGACTCGGGAGATTTTTCTGCTTTTGAAGGACGGATAAATGCAGAGGAAGATAAATTAAAGCATCAGGAAGAAGGCGAGCAAACTGACAGCGAAGACTTTTCGGCTTTTGAGAGGAAGATGGAAGAGCAACAAAAGCGGGAATTGGCGGAACAAAAAAGTGATGACTGTGATCTATCAGAATTTAATGACAGATTTACGAGTAGTGATCACATTGACCGTGAGGATAAAAATGAACCATACGATGAACCTTCAGACAGTGAGGATTTTTCCGCGTTTGAACGGAAGATCGCAAGAGAGGGGTCTGAACTGGACAGATCAGAGGGTGTTATGGAGTGTAGCACTACATCAGGGATAGAAGTGTACGAGATGTCTGGCGATATTGATCCAGAGAGGGTTGGATATCAGAACTTAGCAGATCAGAAAGAATATTGTAGATCTGGAGACAGGTCAAGCGCAGAATTACCCACTGAAGAGGACCTGCTAGATTTAGAACATGTCATGACCTGTGATGAGGTTTTATCAGACACGAGGTCAGGTTCTGGGACTCCTCGACCTCCTTCCCGTGATCCTGTTCTGGATCAGTTCTTCCTTGACATGGACACGTTTCTTGAGGAAGATGAGTTCATATCGCCGAGCAGTGTCAGCAGTGATGATAATGAACAGCAGGATGTTTATCCAGTTAAAGAAACAGGAAGTAAGTCTGCTGAGGATCAATCAGGAGTGACAAGGAGTTTTAGTGATCCAGAATATAAACCAGAAGATGTAAAGGGTTTGTTAGCGGACCTAACTGGTTTACAGGGGTACAAGCATGAAGAAAGGGTCCTGAAAATCATTGAGAAATTGACCTACTGTATGGGATACCTGGTAGATTTAAACAAGCAGGTCAAAGAAGAAGGGTATCAGTCAAATCTCCAATTTCACAATAGAAGAGCAAGGAATGGTCGTGATTCTTTTGGCGGAGAGGGTAAGACCTCGAGCAGTGACGATGAATTTTATCTGGTTCAGAATAGTCGAGCAACGAGTAGACGGAGAAGTGCCAGTGCCCAGTCCTATCAACGAGGACTAATATCTCCTGACCCCAGTACAGCACTAGAGGACCCCAATGCAGCACTAGAGGACCAGATAAAAGCTTGTTTAACAAATGCTACAAGTTTGGAGATGTTGCTAACAGGACCTGGTCCAGTAACCAAGAACAGGGATCTCAGTAAATCTCTCCCTAACATAAGACCCAGGGTAGGGAAGGAGTGGATCTCTCTCCGATAGAATCACTAAGTAGCAGCAACTCTAGTCTTCAGGAACCTAAACTGGAGCACGGTTCAGGAGAGGCTCACTGGGACAGAGTACCTGGTGATCTCAATACTGCTGGTTTATCTGACTGTCTGACACCCGAACGAATCTCTAACTCAGATGACAACAGTACACAAGTTATAAACGATGATGAAACTGGTCGAAGAGCCAATGCTAAACTAAAAGAGGTGATGAGAATCAAGAGAGAACTGGAGGAGTGTGTCAAATTATCTATAAGTTTAGAGGACCTCATTGTCGACTACACTGAGAAAAACGAAATTCCGAATAAAAACTTGAAGAGCAACTCTGCTCTGTCGGTGTCCATGCCCGACGTAAGGATGAAAAATTCAGTATCCGACCTATCAAGAAACCAGGTTAAAAACTTCAGGTGGGCTAGTGAGGAGTTACCCCGCATTAAGAAATATCGCAAGAGATTCCCTCAAGAGAGCAACTACACCTCCAGCGACTCCTACTATCAGAGCAGTCCGCTCAGACGTAAACATCGGTCAAGGCTCAGCAGCATCTCTCGTGACTCCATATCCTCGTCTAGCATGTCTGATGGTGAGACTTACCGGAGGAACGTTCACAAGCTGGACTACCCCAAACACTTGGTCCCGTCCAGCACGCTAGGTATGGATCCGAGCTCCAAACTAGTGAGGTTTAGAAAACTGACTACACCCATAACATCCTCCTCCAGCTCTGAAAGTCTGCCTCAGATTGTCCTGAGTATAAGTGAGAGCACCAGATCTTCTCTGATATCTCCTTTATGTGGTCCCCCGATTCCTGTAGAGACTCCCAGCTACAGTTCTCAGGATATCTCGCTAGGTAGTAACCAGGTAGAAAAGATCACTGCACCAATGCAGGAACAAATTGTGGGTTACAGTCAAGATGATCCTAATGAAGAAGACAGACCTCATCTATTAAATCGTGGAAGGGATTATGCAAGGAAGGAAGAAGCAACTGACAGTGTAAAAACACAGGATACAAGTGACAGGAAAGATAATATGACTATCTCCACTGATTTCACAGAGATAAGAAAGGCGAGAAGTAAAGTTATGACGGTTGAGATGGCAGTTTCTCCTATAGAGGAATTTAAACAGGTACCTCTCCAGAGACAACCTACTATAGAGTACATTAACCGAGCAACTTCACCGCTTGTAGAGGAAAGCACAGAAATATTAGAGGAATGTAATAATATTGAGACAGAAACAAGGGTGGTAAACTTTACGTCAAGTTACTCACAGACTGATACTAGAGACAGCAAAACTGGAGAAATGGAAGCACAATATCAAACAAAGTCTAGCCAGAACTCGACTTTGGAAACAACCAGTGGTACAATTCCAAGTAAGGACAGTGTGTCTCAGACCATTCCTTTGATTAGGCCCAGTAAAGGAACCAGTACAAAACCAGCATCAGAAGTCAACACCATAACACCAAGCTCCAAACCTGTCTTTGTGAAGACTCTGTCAAAGAACTCTCTTTCTTTATCCTCAGAGAAGGTCCTTGACATCGCCACCCAAACAGTCTCCTCAGACATGTCTCTCTCCAACCTTAGGGATATCTATAAATACACCAGACCCACAGTTAAGAAGAAACCTAGAAACAAGCCAGGAGACACTGGTACCAATCATTCAAAGAACCAACAACCAGTGCTATTTTGTAAAAAACACACGAAGAGTAGTCCTCACAGGCCCACCAAGACAACCTACAATGTAAACCAGAGACGTAGAAAAGCAGATAAGAAGCATGCGAACACTCAATACAACACAGTGACTTACCACGTTAACCAGGACATCCAGGGGAAGGATCAGCGGATCAGGATGTCCAGTTCGACATCTAACAACAAAACCGGAGACGAGGGCGACTCAACACTGAACTTCTCCACAAACTTTTTTACACAATCCCCAGAAATGCGAGAGGATCACGCGAGAGGAGGACATGATCACGTAAGAGGGGGAGACGATGATGTTGTTAGCTCCATCCTCCTGGTGCCAAACACTCCAGACCCGTTGACTGGAGGGGAAATCTGGGAGAAGATCAGTGAAGGAAACAAAAACTCTTCTTCTACCTCGTGCGAGTACGGGGACACTACCACTGAATCCTCCCTAATGGACAGGAAATATCAGCTACTCTTGAAAAGACTCAGTAAGAACACTGCTCAGGAGAAGAAAATGTTGCTAAACTTGTTTGAAGATCTCGGAGTGTCAGAGAAAAGATGTGCCAGATTGTTGTCTACTATCAGGTGCCCAGGACCGATACCGTGAAAATGAATATGACTCAATTCTTTATATAACTCGGAAGGCTATTTGTGGGGTTGCTTACAACCAAATTCAAAATTAGGAACTTGACAATTTTGTTTCAAACGTTCTGATAAAGCTGAAGTGAACTTATAAAGGGGCGGTATTTTTACGCTTGGAGGCCACTAAATCATAAAATTCGCGAGTGGTCACTGATCGCAGTACAACTAACATGTTATAAGTTATTACTATTATATCATAGCATGGAATGTGACTTGGTACTGCACTGGTTATATTGGAAACAAGAAGGACTTTATAATTTACTATTTGTATTATATATGCTGTTTTAGCATACTCAAGTTTAATTTATCCTAAGCTAAAACTAGTTCCACTCAATTTCCATTCTTTTTACGTTTATTGGTATCATTCCGTATCATTCACAATTATTTTAAGGTCGACACAAATGTTGCCATAAAACTAAAATTGAACTGAAATACAAAAAGGATATCAATATCATACAATTCTAATTTTATTCTTGAAAGTATAAATGATAACAAATGTTAACGTATCAATTTTCTGAAAAGTTTATCCTTTAAAAAATTGTATACTGAAGAAAACAGATGCCTTGTTTTTCCATAAAACGATAATAAGGGTGCAGTGTACACTGTACATGTATAAAAACTACAACTAAATGTTTCTTTGGCCTGGACACCGACAGTAAAAAGCACCGCCTTGCTCCTTGCACATGAAGCCTAACAGTCAATGTTTAATTCGTGAGTCCGACTAAAAGCTAAGAGAAGACCCCAGAGGAACATTGTAGCTGTTAGTCAGATCGTGTCGAATAACTTTCACTCGGCAGCTCGGACGAAGCTTTCCAATGATCCAGGTTTTAGAAGATTCTGAAGAAAAAATTTGTTTAGTTGGAAACTTTAAAAAAAGTAAAATGTGATGAAATTATCGTAGAAATTAATTGTGATAGAAGTATAAGTCAGAGTTGATTACAATCCTACCTTATGCCAGTTGGTAGAGAGCTGCAGCCAGAGGAAGCATAACAGCAGACATTGCAAGGGCACCGTCACCTTCACCTTCTTCTTCACCGTCACCTTCACCTTCTTCTTCACCGTCACCTTCACCTTCTTCTTCACCGTCACCTTCACCTTCTTCTTCACCGTCACCTTCACCTTCTTCTTCACCGTCACCTTCAGTATCTTCACCTCCTTCTTCAGTATCTTTATCTCCATCTCCACTTTCCACTGAAAGATAGTAACGTGAGTTCTATGTTGAGATAAAGTAAAAGTAACACCACAAAAAATGTTATTCTATCACTGTCACTGGGCAGTGGGCACATAACGATTTAACGGTGGCACAGATTTAGTTTGTACACAGATCTAAAAGCTGTGAAAATCAGAGAAATCATCCTGTATAATCGAGAGACAGTAATGAAGAATTTTAAGATTTGAGGTTTAAACAAGTCTACACCGGTTAGAGGTCAAGGTTATTATCAGCAGCAAGCAGGCAACAATACATTTATTGAAAATTTTACATTGAACAAGTTGCGATTTTATTCTGCTGGTAAAACTTACCAAAGTTTGCCAAAATTTAGGGTAGAAAATATCATTTATTCAGCTCAAAATTTAGATCTTGAGATAAAACAGTTTGTGCAGTCAACAATTTGCTCTCAAGAAAAAAAACAACATAGGTCCACATTTGAAATTATAAAAAAGTAATTAAATTTAAGTAATAATACTCACCAGTGAAGACAACGCAGACCATAAGTCCCAGAAGTAAAAGCAGCTTGAAGTCCATTTTCTTTATCTATCAAATATAATTATTACGGTTTAAATTAAAATACTTCGGAGAAGTTTGTCGTGATCAAACTGAACAAAGTACAAATATTGAAAAATTTTATAATAAGTTGGTCATGAATATGGTGTGACAATGTAATGACACAGTCAGAATATACAGTAATTCTACTGATGAAATGTTTTACGCAGGAAGCACAATATTCGAACAAAAGTAAAAACTGCCATGCGTCAAGATTCGTAACATTAGTGGAGAAACAAACTTCCCAATTGCTAGAGTGACTATGGAGAGTCATTGTGAGTTGGTGGTTCTTTTAACAGACCAAAGAACTAACGCGTCGCTCAACCTCACGCTACTCCGTGATTGTTTGTTGATCACTTTCACTTTCATTCTAGCATCATTGTGCAGGCTGCAGCCCGCCCAATGTTGAAAGAGAAACTTCGTTAATTACAGAATTACCTAGCACTTATACAGGGGCCGGTGGCAGTCATTTTCTCAGGGTCTCTGTAATTATTTTTGTTGCGGTGGCGTCTAGATTGATGAACCTGTGATGAAATATGTGATCGTGTCAGGCAGCTGGGATTGGCTAAACCTCGAATAATCAAATTTACCAGTTCTGCTGTAATCTTGGATTGAATTTCATTTATCTTTGACTCTCAATTAGGCCTGGACCAGTTCCAAGTCTTTAAACAATCTTGAATCACATGGCGTTGTAGGGACATAATAGCTTTGGTATATAACTTTTGGACGAGTATTAATTATATTTTAACCTAGCATAACTAAAGTTTAAATACAATTCTTTCTCACTAATTTGTACCTGAAAATATCGCTTTTAATATTTTACCACCAAAGACTGTGAATTGTGATGTTATCCCTTTAGGCATTGTATGAATCATGTTTAAGATATTTTCCGAAGATTAAATGAAGCATGGGTAAATCAGATTTTAGTGAACGTGAATTGGTAAATATAGTGATAATTTGACCAAAAATGGTCAGAAGCGCAGTGGCGCATGCAAACTCCCGGGACCGAAATTAGTAAGAGTGTAATCAGTTTAATCGCATTGAAATCTATTTTCAAAAGTTTAAGTTCTAGTTGTAAGATTCACTATTTCCCTTGTGAAAAGAAAAAAGAAAAAAGATTCCAACATGCGTACCCTACGGCATACATAACTGGTGTAGTCAGTGTTGTGTGCAATAAGCGAGTTTTGTCTCCGATTTTTATAAATGTTGCACTAAAACTAAAAGTTGCCTCAAAGTGTAAACACGAATATAAGTCAAAATTTACAGTGAAGCACGATTAGGTCTAGTTGTACGTAGGCATAATTAGTCTTACGCATTGCAATGCAACCTTTTTAAAGAAAAATTGCAAATTTTGGGCGAAAAAAAATCGCGCGGCGACTATTATACCATAAAGTATTTTTGGCTATAACCGTGCTTCACGGTGGAATTATTGGTACCAAATTTATTAGAATTAGAAACAAAAATGTTGTGCCAACTCGACTTGGTGTGATCCTATAATTTTCACAATTAGAGACCATGAATTTAGTGGTGTTATTCATTCAAATTATTTGATAATTGCGGGGTACCGGGTAAACGTAAATCATAAGTGTAACGCCACCGTATAACTTTAATACCTAGTCCTACCCGACTGCAAATTACTAAATTAGTTCATACCAGGACAAATATTTAGTCATTAGAGGGGCACAATTGCAATTTTTATCAGACTTTTAAGATCCGTTGGAATTTCAGTGTCTTTCACAAGTCTCCATGATATAAGGTTTTCAAATCACGTGACTCAAAAATATCAGGTTTTCTAATCACGTGACTAAGATCCCTAACTGGCCAACTAACTGGAAGTTGTAATCAGACCACGACACTGCTCCAAATGACAATGATCTTTTATGAACTAATTTACAGCTTCAAATGATAAGGCTCTTCAATCTTCATGTTGAATGGCTCACCCGAAAAATTATCTTGTGACTTCGGTATTCACGGTATTTTATTTCTAGACAAACGAAACGGTCGTGCCAAACTTTAATCCCAACCCTAGCACAGTTACCAAAGCCCTTGCCAAAACCAATAACCCTAACCATATAAACTAACACTCCAATTTAATTGGTATTTTTAAACCTGGAATTTCTTAATCTAAACTCAATCATGAACAACAAAAATTAAAATAATCACTGAGTCCCTGAGAAAATGACTGCTAACTTATTTTATTTTTGTATAATAAACGAAGTTTCTCTTTCATCATTGGGCGGATTGAAGCCTCTCAGACACAAATACAAGTAAAAGTGATCACTGCAAACTTAAGATCTTATTCAAGTAATTTTTGTAGCTTGTAACTTTAAACGTTATTATGATAAAATTATCGTATTCACTCGATGAATTAACATAGCTATAGTTTTCTAGCGATTACCAAGGATTAATATATAAATGAAACATAATGGCTTCGTCTCAGCTGGTATCTTTTAGCTTTTTATTTAAATTATATCGTAAAAATTGGAACTCAAGGTTCCACGGATAAAATGTTAAGCGGTATAAAACCCTTAATCGTCATGAAGTTAATTTGAGGTATCACGTGTGCTATAACCACGTGCCCTTTGTGTGATCCTCAGAAAGCGTAAGAACCACCTGGTCATGCTATTGCTCTTATCATCCATAATTTGTCCTTAAATGAAAGTGAATGAAGCAGGAATTAAGGTACCGTTTTATAATTATATCATATGCATAAAGATTGAAACTCAAGATTCCACGGATAAAATATTAAGCGGTATATACAACCCTCGTGAAGTCAATTTGAGGTAGCACGTGTGCTACCACGTGCACTTGATCCTCACGAAGTGTAAAGGTGTAAGAAACACCTGGTTAGCTCTTATCATTCGTAATTTGTCCTTAAAGTGAAACCGAATGAAGTAGGAATTATTGAATTAGTCGAAATGACTAATCCAGGTCACAGTTCGAGAGTCTGGCACGATCTGAACGGATTCAAATTTTAATCATGGCCCGAGAAGATACTGACCGTGGGTTCTAGGATACACCTAGCACTAGTTTCAGCCCGAATTAATTCTGCCGTACCGAGGTGTGTGGCAACGGGGAAAATGGGGGAAATAGGAATCAAAGATCTCATGGTTTCCAAGTGGATGTGAAAAATTTAAAACTAAAACTAATTATTAAATTTTTAATAGTGTTTAACTTTAAGTTTACTTTCAGGATTGTGATTTCCAGTCTCAAATATTTCGAAAAGATTTGTATCTAAAAGATATGTTGATTACTGCTATGACTATGTAGTGGTTCAAGTTTCAACACCCCTTTCTTAGTTTCTTGACGAACTAACAGGAGTCAGGAGTAATTAAATCCATTTGATAATTCTAACGAGAAGTATAGGAGTGAATATTGAATATTGTAAAAGCTTGAAAGTATTCACCGAACCTTTCTTCATTCGGTCAATAATCGCCGCAGTGAATGGTAGGCACCCACCCAGCGAGGGTCCTGATTGGGTGACTCCGGTTCACAGTTCACACGTGCACTTAATCCTGGGTTCTGATTGGGTGACTCCGTTTAACACGTGCACTTAATCCTGAGATCCTGGGTTCTGATTGGCCTGTGACTCCGGTTAACACGTGCACTTAATCCTGCATCGTCTATGTCTTACAATCTTTACAGCTGACCCCTAATATATTACCATGGCTATTGCAGATTGCTTCATTGTAAATTACTCCCGCTTATATGTTGAAGTTATGAGTTGCACCAGCTGTGTGCAGTGCAAGTGAGGAGTAAAAACTGTAGTGATCATGTAGATAATATAAGGTAGTTGATCTGCCAATACAATTTATTATTTACCAATCCCCGGCCAAGCGGCTTCCACTAATTCAGTAAACCAAACTGGATGAGCTATCGAGGTGAAAAGTTTCATAAAAAAATATATTTACAACTACAAGTCAAGACGATCGAATTCGTAATACTGATTGATTGAAAGCTGGACGGTGCCAAGCTGTTGCTAATATACTAATATTCATATACTAATATAAACAAATAAAAAATACGCAAATAAGCAAATAAAAGAACTAATGACGTTCTGATATGTGAACAAGTATTCCAAATACCAATAATCTAATAATGGTACACATGAGATTATAATTATCTCGTGCACTAATTAATTGACGGCCGATGATATGATCTATAAAGCAGTGCACGAATTGTAGCACGTATACTGGGTCAGTCCATTAACAATAGACAAACAAGTAATAATATTGTGCAACATCTAATCATATCAAGTCTTGCAGTCACTTTTATATTCTTCTAACCAGTATTACGTCACAAGGTGTTCTCCCCTAATTCATGAGCACGTGGTATCAATTTTACTTTCGGTAGCTGAACATCCGACCATTTTAAAAACCAAAATCCAGAATTGGACCGTCGCCATGAGTGCCTCCTTTTCCCAAACAAAAGGAAATGTTCTCAAATGCAAAATGATGCCGAGAATAAAATCGGCCGCTCGCTTTTTTCATTCATTCACGGCCCTTGCGAATTGTATAAATGAGTTACGGTTTACCTCTTTATTACATCAATCACACTTTGTAGAAATATCGTTGGGTTGCTTTCGGACCAATACCTAACGTACTTCGGTATAACTATAACTCTATAAGTAAAGGGCGATAGTTAGTGTCCAATTAGCTGAGGTTTATAGAATCGTTATTGACGAGTACTGTCTCTGTGTAGTGCTGCTTAATTTATCACAATTGTAAATGGGAAAAGCGAGCGACCGATTTTATTCTGATCGGTATCATTTTAAATTTAGAACGGTAATTCAAATTGATATCATTTCCTTCTGTTTGAGAGAAGGAAACACTGGCGATGGTCCACAATCTACACTACCCAATTTTCGGTTTTGGTAAAGAGTATCACTTCTTTTTGGTTAACTTCAGGGTCCTTCACAAAGTCAAAATATAAACTGAGACTATGTCTATGGGTCAATCTGTTAACCTGGGTCATCTCGCTAATTTTGACTTAAAAGCCCGGACAAATCTACAAAGACCAAACCACCCAGAAGTCAGAACAACTGAACTAGATGAAGATTCTCGTTTGAGGATCTAGCGTGGTCACCAAGAGAGCTGAATGTTGTGGTACTGTTAAAAATAAAATCTCGTTACTCGATATCGTGAAGTTGGTCATTTATAGTTGAGAGTCGATAATTATACATTATTGTACTTGGAATTCTATGGTTAGATTCTTTGGGATCGATGAACCATTCCATCATGATACAATTACAAGTTAAGGCGAAATTTTAATTGATTCATAATCAAGCAATTTAGTTATATAATACTCTAAGAAATTATTATTTTAAAACAATTGAAACTCAAAATTACGTTTCGTGGCAAACGTCAACAATAGTTACCGTAAATAACAGTTAAATTCGTCATTACACAATTACGAATTATCCTTTAGATAGCTGAAAAGTCGAAGCTCAAAGATTTAACAAAACTCCCACTTCACACGATGATCATTAAAGTCCATGATTGAATTCCTAATTGATCGACAGATTGTCAAGGCAACCACACGGTTGCTCTTTCGTTTTCTTGAGATACCTCACAGATTTGAATATACCTATTCCTAACGCAGGCTAATGAAATTCATAAATATTCTATAATTTTGAATGGGCTCCCTGTAAGAATGTTAGAAACAGTATCAAACCAAATAATGTTATACAATTATACGGCCAATATATTTACACAAGCTGGCAACAAAAAACACAATAATTGAGCACATTTTTCTTTGATTCGCGAATGTTCGCGGCAGCAAAAAAGTTCTCCCTAGATTTTAATTAACACTCCGAGTAACGCAATACAAATAATTTCAGTCTGCTCATCCAATAATTTTTTAATTTCAAGAGCAGAAATCGAGGTAGGATGACAGTAAAGTGACAGAAATCTGGCCTGGTATTCCTCATTCAGTCGTTCAAGAGGGGTTGGGAGCAACTCCCGAGATTTTGTCTAACATTTTCCTGCAGATTTCCAACTGGTACTTCAGGTTAAAGTTCTCGTCGTTCAGGAACCCTACCCGGGTCTCCAAATTTTCTATCCGTTCGTTCGGCGCCTAAGATGAATAATATAATGGTTATAGGGGATGGATATTTTTGGTTATGGGATTTATTTTAAATGTTTCCTCTTTTATATATACAAGGTGTATAAGTATAACCGCATAAAGTGTGACTTTTTTCCACTTTAATAATTTTTGAAAAAATCAAACTTTACGGTTATTTTTAACTAAATTTTGTCAGAAACATAGTTGAATTTAAGGGTACACCCTGTATATAAAAACAAATTTAAGTCAAGGTTCACAGTTTAGCCCGATCGAATTAGTGTCGGTATATACATTTCACTCCAATGCTCCTCATTAGAGTTTTTACCACGTCACTCAGTAAGCTCGTTCAAATCAGCTTAAACTAATTGACACGTTCAAAGTAACTTTTAAATCACAGTACAAATCCAATCAGTGGAGGGTCACATGGTAACCGCGTGTTAAAATATAAGGCAGTATGTGACGGTCACATGGTAACCGCGTGGTAGAATATAAGGCAGTATGTGATGGTCGGTCAATCGCACTTACTGACTACATTTCGCAGTCAAACTATGCTGTACTTTTGGAAGAGTCCTAGTTTACTTAGCAGCTCAGTTACCTAGCAGCACCTGACATGAAAGTCCTGTACCTAGTCTGCACCCTCCTAGCCGTGACAATGTGCTCTGACCTTCATGTTATTAGTACTCCTGACGGTAAGCCTCACCCGGGACCTTGTGCAGTGACCTGCGCGGGAGTGGGCTCCCTAAAATGGGTAGACTCCAGTTACCACTTCACACGGTGCTACATTTCAGTGGATATAACCAGCTGTGGGTTCACCAGTACCCCCATAGTGATGGCAAACGTGCGGGCTTTTAACAACTTCCCTAATTCTCATTTAAGAGATGTGGATCAGTGGAGTTTGACGGTGTACTCCGAGGAAGGTGTTAAAGCGGAGAGAGCGAATAAAGAAGGATGGAAACTCAGCTGGATTGCTATAGGACACGTGTGTTAGTTGGAGTGAATCGGGAATGGAATTGACTTACTGGATTTCTTAAGGAGTTGGATCGATTGTTCATCGTTGATTTTATTGAATTTGAAGTTGTATCAATTCTAGATTTCAGCCGTTATTATCGATTGTTATATCAAAACAACCACTTTAAATCGTGACGTGAAAAGTAAAAACTATGGCCACATTTTATTGCCAAGCTGTGAAAGCAGAAAGCTGTGAATTATCATTTCTTGAGTCCTTATTTGGGATAAGTAACTTCTGTGATTGTTCTAACAATCATCCCTATTTGAGACAGAATTCAAATCAAGCTATTTGTTATTTGAATATTCGGACAAAATCAAACTCCTTTATGAGAGGGTTGGTGGACTGAATCCCTACCGCTACCCCCATAGCCCCATGGACCCTAACATAACCCTACCCATAACTCCATAACTCCAACCCTGACGCTTACCCCCATGGGCCCTAACCCTAGACCCTTACTTTACTTGTACTTGAAAAGGTCTCCTCCTAGTCGTTGGAGTGGCCTGCACCACAAAGTAACTCCTTTCTCCGGTGTATTAGACCTCTCCAGTGAGCCCTGTCTGTAGCTTGTTGTTCTGCATCTTCTATCGTGATGTTATCGACACCTGTGAAGATTGCTGCATCCTCCCGGACACATGACAACCAGTTTTTCCGAGGTCTACCTCTTGACCTTTTACCATGCTTTGGGATCCAGTGCAGAAGATAGTTGGGTATTCTTTCTTCTGGCATCCTCACCACATGGCCAAACCATCGGAGTCTAGCTGCTCGTACGAAAGTATCAACAGGGGCGATGTTAGCCCGCTTAAGTACATCAGCATTAGATACATGATAAAACCATTTTATTTTCAGGATTCTCCTGAGACATCTATGATGGAACACCTCAAATCTTTTCATCTGCGTCTGTGTGGTATTCCATACCTCACTTCCATAAAGCAGTATAGTGAGAACAGCCGCTTTGTAAATCCTGATTTTCGTTGGAGTCTTGATGTTGCGACTGTACCATATACTGCTGAGCTGATAGAATGCCCCAGAGGCCTTTTGAATTCGAGCTGAAAGTTCGTTGTCAATTGTTCCATTCGCACTGATGATTGCACCCAAGTAAGTGAAATTGCTGACCTGCTGTATTGGGAGACCTTCCACATTGATGTCCATAGTGTCGTCTTTAGAATACGGCCTCTGCGATGCACTTTTGCTGACAACCATGCTTTGTGTCTTGCCAGCATTAATCTTCAGACCCGCATAGGCACTGTATTTGCAGAGAAGGTCAGTGGTTTCCTGCAGCCCCTCTTTTGAGTTATCTAACATAGCCATGTCATCAGCGTAATCAGTGTCCAAAAGATGTTTCTCTTCTACCCCGGGGGCTGGCAGCTGTAATAAAGCCCCTTTGCTAATGACCTTGTTCAGTTCCATAAGGTATGCCGAAAAATTCAAACAAAAGTTGAAGACTGGTGGTCCCTGTATATCACCTTGCCCAGTACCCGAGTTGACATCAAACCAACCTGTAACCTCTCCATTGACCCTAACAGCACTAACTGTGTGAGTGAAGAACGCCTTCATAATTCTAATGTACTTGTCAGGTAAGCCGTAGTGCTGCATACTTCTCCAAATGAACTGCCTGTCAATTGAATCAAAAGCTGCTTTGAAATCAACAAAATTAATATACAGAGGGATATTATACTCAATGCATTGGTGTATAATACAGCGGAGTGAATAAACCTGGTCAATACATGAGCGATTCTGTCTAAAACCACTTTGATTTTCCCGGAGGAATCTTTCCATGCCATTGCTAAGTCTCCGCAGGAGTATCATCTGCAGGAGCTTCGAGGCTGTGGATCTTAATGTAATGCCTCTGTTGTTAGCGCAATGAGAGGTGTCACCTTTCTTTCCAACGATGATAATAACACCTTTGGACCAATCCTCAGGAATCTTCTCATCTTCCCACACTTTCTTGAACAACACAACTAGTTGATCGACCAACCCATCCTGTCCATACTTAAGTTGCTCGTTGGTGATACCATCCACTCCTGGACTTTTGTGATTCTTGAGTTTTTTGAGGGCATCAACAATCTCGTTTCTTGTAGGAGCTTCATCCGAATCGGAAAGGTCGTCAAAACTGGGTTGCGGAGGGATGATGTCTAGGTCAGAAATATTGGCCTCTTGCGGGGGAGGGTTCAATAGCCTAGAGAAGTGCTCTTTCCACCTTTCTTTCTGGGCATGTGGGTCGGCAATCAACTGGCCAGATACGTCTCTAACTGCAGTTGACTGCTTCTTCTTCTTTCCAGATATGACATTGATCTTCTGCCATACCTCACGTTGCTGACCTTTTCTCGCAGCTTCTTCCAAGTCATTGGCCATTCTACGTGCCCAGTTGTTAGCGTCCACCTTGCTACTTTTTTTAAAGAGCTTATTCAATCTAGAATACTCTGACCTGTTAGCGTTCGAATTAGGGTCTTTACGCTTAAATTCCTTACGGTTCTTCAATAATTCTTTTGTCTTCTGAGATTGGTGCCTGTCCTTCTTTTTTCGAGGTCTTTGCCCAAGGATTTCCATGGAAACTTGTTGGACAGTTGTCTTGAAGTTGTCCCACATTGATTCCAGGTCAACCTCAGGTTCCAAACAGTCAAATTTGTTTCTCAGAACAATATTGTATTCGGAAACAAGTGAATGATCACGCAGATGCTCAATAGCAGGAATCTCAAGCTTACGTTCCTGCTTCTTTTTCACTGACATACGCTTCATTCTCAGTCGTGCTCTTACCAAATAGTGATCAGACCCAATGTCAGCCCCTCTACAAACTTTTACATTTAGCAAGGAGCCTCCAAACTTCTTACTGATACAGATGTGGTCTATTTGGTTTACAGTACGACCATCAGGTGATCTCCACGTACCTTTATGTATATCCTTTTGCTGAAACATAGTGCCCCCGATGGTAAGTTGGTGGGCAATGCAAAAGTCCAACAATCGGGTACCATTGTCATTTGATGAGCTGTGAAGCGAGTGTCCACCAATGACACCTGACATAGAACTGCAGTCGGATGTGACCTTAGCATTAAGATCACCAAGCAGTAATTTTAAATCATGTCGGGGTAGCTCATCGAATGCACTTGACAACTGCTGGTAGAATTCATCCTTATCATTATCTGAAGCCCCCTCAGTTGGCGCATATGCCACAACAACAGAGATGTTCAGGTGTTGACTATGCAGCCTTGCACTCAACAAACGGTCAGATATTGGTAGATAGGAAATTAATGAATTTTTAGTCCTCTTTGAAAGGGTAAGACCGACACCTCGCCTTCTTATACCGTCCGTCCTCCCTGAATAAATAAGTAAGGAGCCATTATCCAGTAGCTCTGATCCTGTACCAGGCATATGGGTCTCAGTTATACCCAGCAAGTCCAACTTAAACTCAGAGAAATTCTCTGATAGCTGGAACAACTGACTTGAACTACTTGTCAGAGATAATACATTCCATGTCCCAAATGTAAGACCTGTTTTAGAATAATTCGCTGGCTGTTTCTTATTAGAGTCGGAGTCCACATGGGTGATCTGTGGAGAAATAAATCTGCTACAATGACGTGTTCTCCCAACACTCATCTGGCCACGGGGGTCCCTTAGGCTTTTCCCCGCCACCTTCATACTGGTATCATCCGTCCTTGCAGAGGGAGCCACACACCGTTTCTTGTTGTTACTTTGTGATGTTTCTGCAGCAAATGTTTAGAGAGGAAAAGTTGCCAGCATCTCGCACCCGGTTTTTTATCGACCTTTGCCTGTCTAGATCCATAGTGTTTTGTTGCACGTCATCTGTTTAAACTGGAGTCACCCAGGACAGATTACAATGCTTAATAGTAGCACCTCGAAAAGGATGTGATTCTTCATCACGCACTATGGTCATTGGAATAGGAGAGGTTATCGGTGACACGATCACTATTCCCTGAGATTAAAAATAATCTCTTGCCACCAAAACTCCAACACTACCGCTTACCCCCATGGACCCTAACCTTACCCATAACTCCATAACTCCAACCCTACCGCTTACCCCCATGGACCCTAACCTTACCCATAACTCCATAACTCCAACCCTACCGCTTACCCCCATGGACCCTAACCCTACCCATAACTCCATAACTCCAACCCTTATGAATCTATCGAAAACTCCAAACCATTGCTGCTTGCCGAGCAAAGTAGAATATACAGGGTGGCCCAGATCAATGAAATTTTACGAAACTTTCAGAAAATTAAAGTTTGACCCATATCTATATGCTCTAAAATTTTGGTGCAATTCTGATACGAATAACGGGAGTTATTAAACAGTTGCTTGTGGGCAGTTACTTCTGGGCAGTTACTTCAAACAAAATAGAGCAGTATAAGAGGCGAAACATATAATGTTCAACCAGTTTACAATCCTATGAAACCTTGATAAAATAATTACTCACCATGTCCTTAGAATTAATGCTCTCGCTAAGATTATTCGTCAGTTTCTTCCGTAACAATCCGATTTCTTTGTCTCTCTTCCCCAATTCAACTCTCAAGACATGGATTGCATCTTTCTTTCCTGAAATATCATTTGTTAAATCACCCAACCTTGGACTCAATCCAGAATATATAACATAATCCACTCTAAAGTTACGAGAGTTGTCACAATTTAGATCCATGTGACGAGTAAGTTCAACTTCAAAGAAACAGCAGTCCTCATTAAATTTGACTCAAAGACCCGTGATGGGCGTCATTATAACCGCACCTTGTAGCAAGTCCTTTAGCACTATCACTGACTCCTGATGTAAATCTGTACAACCTGCACCTGCAAGGTGGTCAATTGGTCAGTATTAGAAATCAAGACTTGGTTAATTTAATGAATTGGTTAATATATGCAAATGGTTATTAGAAACTAATAATTGGTTAAGTTAAAGAATTTTGTTAGATCAACTTATAAAGTAGTAACTAAAAAACAAAACCCAACAATTAAGAGCGTGATAAAAAGGCTCGTACACCTTATATTCCAATATACAGCTGATAAGTCGTTAAAATTAGTTCTCGCTAGATAAGAGGAAGGTACGATCAGTCATGCAAGCCATATTGATTTGTATGTTGATAAGTTATAAAAATATAAATTTACTAAAAATTTGCACAGATCTGATTGCTTTATTTTCCCATTTGTTCTATCGACTGCCTTTTTATTGGTAATCATGTATGGCTACGACTAATTAGTAGTGGTGGTGGGATCAGTGATTTTGGTAGGTAGGTCGAGTTCGATCGGGTTGTGCAGTGTGCACAGATTGATTTACGGTGATTAATTATAACGTTTGGCCAAAGTCACACTTGATGAGCATAAGCGACATAACATTAACATTGTGACCATATCCTCAAATGCAGCGAATGCAAACAAAGCCAAACATTTTGGGCGTAATTTCTTGTTTCAAATTAATTAAACTTCACAATATAAGTCATTAAATAAGTCAGTCAACCTGGCGGCTGGCACTTAGCCAAAAAGATAAATAAAGTGTAATGTACCGTCAGTTAGCAAGCAGAGCAGCCAATCAGAAATGGTACCTGTTTTGTCTGAGTCAAATACTACCCACCTGTTGGTCTGTGAGCACTCTGTGTTCTTGACATGCATTGTAAACCTGATGTCACGGTTATAGCGGTCAAAGCGTGTTTAGCAGGGTTTGTTAGCGCAATAGCGCATTACATTTTAAACTTAGCGCATCATACTTAGCGCATCATACTTAGTGCGTCATACTTAGTGCGTCATACTTAGTGCGTCATACTTAGCGCATCATACTTAGCGCATCATACTTAGCGCGTCATACTTAGTGCGTCATACTTAGCGCGTCATACTTAGTGCGTCATACTTAGTGCGTCATACTTAGCGCATCATACTTAGTGCGTCATACTTAGTGCGTCATACTTAGTGCGTCATACTTAGTGCGTCATGCTTAGTGCGTCATGCTTAGTGCATCATATTTAGTGCATCATACTTAATTTATAGCAGTGATAACCCTTTTTCACTCATCAGCCACATTCACTGGACAGCAAAATTCACGCTACTCCAAGAATAATGATTGATAGCCAACATCACACAGCTGTGAGCTACAAAACCACATCCTAACTCGAACACTCTACTCACTTTCCAAGCAGCTAGTAGAATGGTTCCTCTTCATGAACACATCACCCTCCTCCTGCTTCTGCCCGGGAACACTACCCTGCTTTGGTAACGAGCTCCCTGGAGCACTCCTAGTTGATGCACCCCGACTTGATTGACGCCTGACTGACACTCCGCGTCGTTGTTCCCCCCGGGTACTAGAGGGAGGAGTGTTGGGGGAGGAGGTGGAGTTGGGTGGAGTTGGTGGGCAACTGTTCTCGTCTTCAAAGCTGTTCTGTCTCAACTGCTTCAGATCTTTCTGTGGAAAGGGCGGATTATCATGAGCGTGGTACTGGCAATTAAGAGGTATTGTGCACGTGATTCTAAAGAACAATTGTGCCCATTCAATTAAAAAATACTCTCAAAGCATCGCTACAAGTGCAATACTGATCGTACTTTGATAGATTTAGAGTCGTTGCTGCTGATAGGTTTGTTGTTCGCATCCCCGAATATAAATGACAGTTTGTTTGTCTGGTGCTGTTTTGCAGCGTGGGAGTTGGAGGCAGGGCTAGCACATTGTAGTAGCCTGACAGCTAACCTGGAGAGATTAGGGTGGTATTATTTTACATTTGGTCGCTCAATTCATTGTGGGGGCAGAGCCAAGAATCAATCAATAAATTCAGTTTGTGATGTTCCTTAATACAGCACATAATTGTCTTACTCCCTCACAGCCCCATTCCCCAAACACAGCATCCTAAGTACAGGAGCAAACTCTTTCACTCTCAATCGAAATTGCGCCTCAGTCCCCTTTACTCCCCCTCCCTATAAACACAACACCTCCCCTACCTGCAGTCCCTGACAGCTCTAGCGTTAGTCTGTTCCAGCTCCTCGCTCTTCTTCCTCTGCTGGATCAACTTGTCGGTCAGCTTCATGATACTGTTCTCAAACTTCTGCTTTCCTTCTTCGTGTCTGCTGTCCTGTTCTAGAAGCTTCTCTTCCAACTGACTGTTCTTCTTTACCAGTTCTAGGTATGTAGTTCGGAGTCGCTCCTCGCTGTGCTTCAGGGACATCACCTCTCTGAAGATAGGGGTTCAGTTAAACAATTTAGTAACTGCAGATCGGATATCGCAGCAGTTAACGGGTGATACTCGTAAAATATTTGTTCCAAATATTGACGAGTCCAACTCGGCGCGCTTCTTGGTATTATAACCTACAACGCAGCAACAGCAAAATGTTCGTTCGGGTTCATCACAAGATATAACACACGAACCTGTCTCGAGAGAAGAGCTCAGATTGTAGATCAGTGTTGTGAGCCTCTATCTCGTTATAGTCTGATACTCTCTCTGACAACTTGCTCACATCCTTGTTCAACATCTTTATCTCCTCATCTTTCAATCTCAGCAGCAACTTCAGATCTAACGAAAATGAAGGGTTGCTAATGGCAGGGGTTAGATAAGTATTTTGATGTCATGGTATTCGTTAAACGCTTCTGCAACGAATAAATGACGTAAATTATTGATAATTGTAGACTCCAACGTTATTTACTCAGCAACTATTGAACTGAAATTTCACAATTTCAAAAGCTTACCATCGTTCTCTTGCGCTAGGTTATCAAACTCTTCCAGAAGCTTCTCTAGCCGCTCAACCTCGCTAGATTTATCTCGGAGTTGTTCGGCTTGGTCCTCAACCCTCCTTCGCAGCTCAACTTCTTGGATCTTATCTGCTTCCAACTCTTTCACTGTTTTCTGAACAGAATACGAAGTTATTGATCTATCTTAACTTATATTTTTATATGGTTGTTGATAGTAAATCGTCAATAATCATGAACAACTATAAAATAACATAAAGCAGCAACATAATCTATTTAAACATATGTTAAATGTTAATGTATGGTATCGACATTAAACGATCTCTTTGTCTTCAACAATAAAACTCAACATTAAAAACAGTTCGCTTATAAACTCCTCTTCTTTCTACTAATAATATGACAATATGACGGATTATTGGAGCGGAAACAGTTGCTTACTGCTTAGATTCCGTTGGGAAATAAGTGATTTCAATTTCAAGTGGCTATGAAAGCAACTTTACCCGATCTTCACGCAGCTCTTTCATTTTATCATAGAAGTAGATACCAATCCAACATAAAGCAACAACAGAAATCGTTCAAGCCATCGTTTAAAGGTTTGACTACACGCAATCACACACGATTAAAAACTTTCGAGCATAAAGAAATTTTAGCCAGAGCACTGATACCTTAACATTACACGATACAGAATTCAGCTCTATATCTATATCTCCCTCCCTCTCTCTCCATCTCTCGCTCTCTCTCTCTCTCTCTCTCTCTCTCTCTCTCTCTCTCTCTCTCTCTCTCTCTCTCTCTCTCTCTCTCTCTCTCTCTCTCTCTCTCTCTCTCTCTCTCTCTCTCTCTCTCTCTCTCTCTCTCTCTCTCTCTCTCTCTCTCTCTCTCTCTCTCTCTCTCTCTCTCTCGCTCTCTCTCTCTAGCACCACTTTGGCTAACGCTATTAATTAGAAATCATTTTCTGCTATTTATGGTTTGATGGATCTTGCCAGCCCAGCCCGCGTACACAAGAAACACAGCTTCTCTCTCTCTCTCTCTCTCTCTCTCTCTCTCTCTCTCTCTCTCTCTCTCTCTCTCTCTCTCTCTCTCTCTCTCTCTCTCTCTCTCTCTCTCTCTCTCTCTCTCTCTCTCTCTCTCTCTCACTCTCCTTTCAATTTCATTTATTTGCGATACAAAGTTTGGATTCTATAGAGTGAGCGTTGTTGGAAAGGTGAGATGGTGGCATTTTCTTTGTTGTAATGCTGATATTGCTTCAATGAACTATGCCAGGTTGAGTCAATGAGCTCAATGGAGGTTGCCCCTCCCACCTCTGCCTCAATAAGTTACTTAAACACGAAAAAAAGGTTATCATGAACAACTCCCAGCGGGCGCCAAAATTAATTAATTAGCCCTTTAAATTAATCAATTAGCCCCTAAAATCCTCAACCACGTTTTTACCTCTAGTTCGTCTAGTAAGAATAATATACAGCCCTCTGTTTACAAATATTAAACCACACAAAGCAAGTACCTTGAGTTCTATGAGAGTGATTTGTTGCTGCTTTAACTTGCCCCGGAGTGAATCAGTGTACTGGTCGTGGAGGGAGGTGGAACAGTGGGAACAATGTGGTTGGTCTTCTTCTGGCTCGTCCCATAGTTCCGTACTACTGTCCACGTCATGTCCTCCGTCACTACAGAAGGAGGGGTGGGTTAGAAGGGGTCGGGAAGGTAGCTCGGATGTAAATAGAAGTGGTGGAGACTGGTGGGGGGATGCCGGGGTGGCAATAATGGCATACACAATGGTATATTATACCTTATCGGACCTTATTTGGACGGACATTACTTGGACGCTGGAGGCCCTAGCGTTCATCTTAATGTCCGTTCAAATAAAGCCCGTTCAATTAATGTCCGTCCAAGTTAAAGTCCGTTGAAATTTTTTCAAAAGTATTTCCATTTCGAACTTTTTGTCAAGAATATGACAACTATGAAAGCTTTATTGTGCCGTAACGGTAAATTAACGACGGAAAGGTTATCCTTGGTTTGCCGGAGGCACAGAAAACTCTACTAGAATATGATGTTTTCAATTGGGTCACTTGGCGGAAAAAGTCAACGAAATTATGGCACTCAACAACATAGTTCATGAGCTCCTCCCCGCCAACATGACAAACTTGTTCCAGCCTCTAGATATTACGGTAAATCGTGTTGCCAAGGACATTGTCCGACGTTGTTATAGTTCATATTACTGAGGGGAGGTAATGAAACAGTGCTAGGAAAGCTCCACGTGATGTTAAGGTTAACCTAAAGTTGTCTAAGATAAAACCACTTCACGCCGAATGGCTTGTAAAAGTTAACACTGAAATGCAGGACCGGGGTAGTTTGATAAAAAAAGGTTTCCATAAAGCTAGAAATCACTGATGCTTGTTTAAGCATGGACTATTTCATGCACGAAAACCCATTTGATGAAGATGATATGTGATATTAGACACTGATCATGTACACATATTCTAACATTTTGACTGCTTAATGACTGCTTTTCTTACTTACTGTTTAAAAAATGGATTTAAAAATCATTTGCTGAAATTTAAAAAACGTCAAAAAATTGAAAAAAATTCTGATTTTTGATGGTTTTGAATGCCTTCGAGCGTTCATATTAATGTCCGATCATAATTATGTCCGTTCATGTAATGTCCGTCCAAATAAGGTCCGATAAGGTATAATGCAATGTAACTTCGTTGAGATAATCCGGCCAAACGGAAATTTACAGTGAACATTTGCTTTGAATCAAATTTAGATTTACTGGAGCGTATATATTTGAAGAGATGGGTCGGGCGTTGACTTATTAGTGTCATGGTATTTTTTAAAGTTGTTTTGGCGCTTCTCTGACTTTTAGCTAACAAAAAAGCAGTTTAAATATAATTAAAGTTAAATTTCTGATTGACAGATTCTTTGTCAAGTATCAATGCAGCTTCTGCCGAATCATACTCAAATTATTTGTCATATTCAAGTATTCAGTAGTGTTGAAAGAATAAGTCACCAAAAGATTTAAATACTCCCAAGAGTCCCGGTTTAATCTGGGCTCAACTGTAACTGAGGGTGGTGCACAATTGCACATTATAAATCTAGAGGAGGGGTATACTAAATACTCACATATTATATAATAGTACTAATTAATCAGTGATTAGTAGAACGATGACAGATTTTGGAGTAATCTCGGAGAGGGTGGAATAATTTACAAACTTCTTTTAATTGCGAACATTGACTGATATTGTCTTGTTTAAAAAGAGACTAAAGACTCATCTCTTTCAAAAAGTATTCATATAAGTATCATATAATATCTTTATCATGAAAACCATACTTCATAAAATTGTAAGTTCTTATGTACATGTTCATGAGTCGCTTTAGATGGCTTGAACTAAATCTTTGAATTTTGAGTTTTTTGGCTATAAAGCGATGCATAAATTTCTAGCTATTACTATTATTATTAATTGATTATTTGAAATTTGGAGTTTAATTTATTTCATCACTTGAGTAGCTATGCCTTAAGTAATTTGTTGAAGCATCATCGATTATAATTCCGACAATTTTGATACTCCACCACTAGGGCTAATTCAAACTTACTGATTCTCATCGTGAATTTGGCATCCCGCCGACAGAATATCATCAGATCCAGAATGATTCGCACAATTACAGATTGAGCAAAAGATAATTGCCACCGATTTGTAGACTACCAAATTGATGGTAAGAAAATGTATCACTTAAGTAGAAAGGATGAAAACAGTGGATTCAGACTCACCCCCTCCCACCCCTCTCTCTGTTTTATGACTGAAACTGAACTTACCCATTATTGGAGCTAGGGTAGCGGTTCCTACTGTTCTGGGGGTACTCCACTTGCAGGTGATTCTTGTTTACTGACATGATGGGCACCTTGGAGGAGGAGGAGGAGTGCCCGGTGACCACGGGGTGGAGGGCCTCATTTTCCGGGTCCTCAGGAACTAGCATCTACTCCATCCTGGACAGGGGGCTAGTGTGAAACTGGAAATAGTTGGCGAGTATTTTAAACTATGGAAATTAGAAAATTGATTATGTTATAGAAGGTAATGAAAAAATAAGATCACAGATTTAAAGATAAAGAAGCGACCCTATGTTTAAATTTTATTTTAATGATCCCTTCTTCATCATATTTGGTTAAATACTGTTAAGACTTTCCCAGTCCCCACAAAAACTCTACAAGGTATTCAAAGCGACTGTAAGGAGTAATACTAATGCACCCTTAAATAATAGGTACCATGTTTTAGTCTTATACCTTACTCGGGATTATTATAACCGGGATAAAGTGGTGGGTTTTGGAAGATTCCGCCATATTTTTCCCGGTCAAAAATTTTACCAGTCATAAAAAAACCCGCCGACTCAGATTATGGGGTTCCAAGGGGGTGGTGATCATCATATTTTACCTGAAGTCTCATATGTGCTAGAGAAGACTTTTGAAGCAGTGGATGGAGGGCTGTAACTTTATTGGCGGTTGCTACCATAATTTCGTTATAAAAATCACAATTTGGTTATAGAAATCAGATTTCAGGGTGGACCGTGATTATCACTTTTCTTGCCCATGAAGTGAGTAAACTGTGCCACTATTTCATGGTCCACGGTGGATTGATTACTGGAGCAGTTGAAGATGCAAAGCCAAGACGTTCCCCAATACCAAGCGGTGGGCAGGAAATTAAGCTCCGGCTGACCTTCAGAGCAGTAGCCCCATTAGCGGACAAAATGAAAGTCTTGTTAAGACAACAATACAACTTCGAATTTGACGGTCAGCAGCAGGGGGATATCAATAATGATAATGGAGGGGTCATTAGGGCTGTAGGACTATTGAGCGGAGGACTGTTGAGCGTAGGACTGTAGGTCGGTGAAGGTCGAAAGTAGGACTGTAGAGCGGTGTCAAATCGCCAGGGTAGGACTCTAGAGCGGCCGCCCTTATAGATCTCACAACATGAGGACTTTAGAGCGGTACGATCCTAAAATGAGGACTGTAGAGCGGTGGACTGTTGAGCGCGAGCGGTGGACTGTACATGTAGGCCGGTGAAGGTCGGAAGTAGGACTGTAGAGCGGCCCTCCCTTATAGATCCCATAAACATGAGGACTCTAGAGCGGTACCATCCTATAACATAAGGACTCTATAGCAGTTGAAAATTTGAAGATTGAACACTCAACAAAGCTAAGTTATAAATTGAACTGTTCGTATCAATGTGATTTCGCTAAGTAGAGTACCGATCAAGTTCGTGCAGATCTCTCTCTCTCTCTCTCTCTCTCTCTGTTCTGGTCAACGGTTTCTGGCCTCTTACTTAATGAGGGAGGCCTTCTCGCCGTGCCCACAGAATGCAACTCCTGCTAGTTCGTGCAGATCATTTATGAATGAGGATCGCATCGCGTGACGCTTTAGCGCCTACTAAGGATATCTCATGTTCATCAATCTGGTGACGGGACTGATTCAGATCAGATCCCATCGCAGTGCGATATCTTGTTAGGATTTCGAAGGTATGGTATAAATATCACGGAGTATCCAGTTTTCGTATATCAAATTCGAGAGTCCTCATGTTATGGGATCTATAAGGGAAGGCCGCTCTACAGTCCTACTTCCGACCTTCACCGGCCTACAGTCCACCGCTCAACAGTCCACTGCTCTACAGTCCTCATTTTAGGATCGTACCGCTCTAAAGTCCTCATGTTGTGAGATCTATAAGGGCGGCCGCTCTAGAGTCCTACCCTGGCGATTTGACACCGCTCTACAGTCCTACTTCCGACCTTCACCGACCTACAGTCCTACGCTTAACAGTCCACCGCTCAATAGTCCTGCTCCCGACATTAGCGATAATGAGAATGAGAATACGCTTTAATGAAGATTTGACTTATTATTGCTATAGATTTATTTTCCTTTAAATACTAGACGTGTCTTTTTTTCTATTTCTGAGTAATATCAGTAACTGTAAATTGAAATAACTTCTTTAACAAGTAACAAAAACAGAAATTTCGGTTGAAAATTTGTTGACCTCTGAAAAAAAACTTGAAAGGTCGGCCACCGGTAAATACATGACCGGGATAATTTGGCGGGTTTTGGGAAATTCCGCCATATTTTTCCCGGTTATTAATTTTCCCAGTCATAAATTAACCCGCTATAATATTCCCGAGTAAGGTATGCAAGTCGTTCGAGAATAGCAAACCTAGTTAAACGCTTAATTGTTACAAGCAAAAAATAGCATCTGCCTATACAAACTGCTATAGAAACTTTTCCAGTGTATACACTATACATTGGACTCATGAAATGTGTCTATCATTCCAGAGATTTTTAAGCTAAATTTGTTAACATTCTATCATTGTGATGAAGACTATTGTAAATAGCTTCACCCATTTGAACGACACAAAGAGGTTAAAAAGGAACCCACTGAGTGCTTCAGCGCTGAAATGGATTCACAAGCAATAAATAGTAAAATATAAAATAGCTGATGTACTATAACGGTCCTCATATTAACATAAATCTATTAATAATAAAGAAAAGCTCCGTTGATATTAAGGTATGCTTTTCCTTGTATTGGGATTATTGTATTGCTGTCAGCCAATGAGAAGTGAGATTTATAGACGCAAGCCAATTACAGGCAAGAGATCTAAGCACGTGGGTAACCATGGAAACTTCACGTGTACCCGGTGTGATTAGCTAGCACAAGTCATTAAGGAGACCGGGTATAGTTTGTACTGGAACAAATCTGTGCAGATTAGGTCTTAGAATGCTTTCTAGATTAATCATAGCATATTTTATGATTTCTTCAATACTCCAAATCATGACGTTTGCCAAGTTTCAGCGTTGACGGAAATCGTTTTACACCGTTCTCATATTCAACAGTGTGATCTCGATAAGAAAATGATAAGACAACAGCTGCTGAACTATGACATCATTCTGTATTCAGTGTCAGGATACGGGACTACATCCTGGTATCACAGTGCACAAACTGACTACCTGTCAGCCACTGTATAATATCTACAGCTAGGCACACTTTGGGCACACTTGGGGCACACGGCACACCTGGGACACAAAATTGAATTTCCTGGGGCACACTTGGGGCACAGTTGGGGTACAGTTGGGGCAAAAAGTTACTTGGGGCACACTTGGGGCACACTTGGGGCAAATACAGTTTGGGCACACTTGGGGCACATTTGGGGCAAATACAAAGGAAATACAACCGAGGAAGAAGAGTTGTTTGTAAATGGATACTTGGGGGATTTTGTAGGACTACAGACGAGTGTTTTCTAGTGGAATTTCCTAACAACCGGAGGGACCACCACACTCTCCTTCTTGATAAAGCTCTACGTTGCCCCAGGAACCACCATCTTGACTGACAAGTGGAGAGGTTACAGTGCTCTTCCACGCTTCCACGGTATGGATTTGTACATCTTGTGGTCAACCATTCAAGAGGCTTCGCTGACCCCCTAACTGGCGTTCACACCAACGCATGTGAAGGGATGTGGTTTCACGCAAAGAGACACATGCTCCGTGGCCATTGAAGGACCCGTGCAGACTCTGAAGCCTAAGAGATAGCCCTCTGTGAGTTCATGTGGCGTAAGCGTCATAACCTCACCCGATCGGACTCATCTGTGAGAAGAGCCTTTAATAGCGAAATTCATAAGCTGATGAGAAGAGTATTATCCTGAATAGTTGAATGTATAATTTTATTAATGTATTGGTTGTATTGGTTTTCAGGAATTAGGTTAATTTTAATTAAATTAAAAATTACGTATACATTGTTTGTCACTTATTATTACACCAGAAGATTGTTTACCTTAGTCATTTTTTGCCCCAAGTGTGCCCCATGTAACTTTTTGCCCCATCTGTGCCCCAAGTGAGCCCCAGCTGTTCCCCAACTGTATTTGCCCCAAATGTGCCTCAAGTGTGCCCCAAGTAACTTTGTGCCCCAAGACGTGTGCCCCAGCTGTATTTGCCCCAAGTGTGCTTGCCCCAAGTGTGCCCCAAGTGTGCCCCAAGTAACTTTCTGCCCCAACTGTGTCCCAAGTGTGCCCCAGGAAATTCATTTTGTGCCCCAGGTGTGCCCAAAGTGTGCCCCAAGTGTGCCCCAAGTGTGCCTAGCTAGATTACCAAATTGCCACAGAATCATAATGGTAACACGAATCCTGTCCGACAGCAACTTTTTCTTGTGTTTGAAGTGATATCTCAAATTTGGCAAATAGAAATTCACCCAAACTTGCACATATTATTCAGCATATAACCATCATACTTGATGGAAAGTTTCAAGAAAATCGTATGGTAGGATCCGACATAAACTATTGTCCGAAAAACCTAACTTTGGAGGCGGACAGGAGTCGCTGTCGGACAGGAGTCGCCCAATATACTATAATATAGAAACTACAGACTTCCTAGTTTGTTGTGATCTGAAGTTAGGATTTAGACCAGTGCTCTATCACAGCGGTCATTAATTGGTATATTGGTGGTTACTAATGAGTTTACTCTGTTATTACGTTGAGCAAGCATAGTACCTATATGTTAAGGAATCCTGCTTATTAAACAGAGTCACGGAGGAAATATAAAGTCCTTGCAAATTATGGCTAACATCATATTAATTACGCAACTATTATTATATATTTTATTATTAGATGGCAGTAAAGAAGGCTTTCTAGAATAGTTGATAGTTATGTTATGTAGGATATTGGTTTCCTCAATACTCCAAATCATGACGTTTGCCAAGTTTCAGCGTTGACGGAAATCGTTTTACACCGTTCTCATATCCAAGAGTGTGATCTCGATAAGAAAATGATAAGACAACAGCTGCTGAACTATGACATCATTCTGTCTTCAGTGTCAGGATACGGGACTACATCCTGGTATCTCAGTGCACGAACTGGCATATACAATATTAATTATACACATAATTAACTCTATAATTGGAAATGGCTAATGATAATAAAAGCTACAGACCTGTCGGCTTGTTTGGATTGGGTTAAGATTGTCGTGGTCTGTTATTAGAGTAACTGG